TCATTTAAATTTTAAACTTTGTGGGGTTTTTTTGTTTGTTTTCTTTTTTTAATATTTGATTTTATTTCAATTTTAGTTTTAGTTATTTATTGAGTTAGCTTAAATGAAAATTAAAAAGGTTGCTCTGGCAACTAGCTAAAAAAATTTTTTATAAAATTATTATTTTTTCAGTTAACATTTTTTAAGCAGGCTAACAAAAATGTTTTTTATGGTTTTAGTTAACTATAATAACATTGGTATGCATAAAATTCTACATACAATTTTTTGTGATTTTTTTCTTTCTTTTTTTATTATAATGATACTGAGCTTATTTTCTTGTAAACTACTCATCATTTTTCTAATATAATAAATGAGCAAAGATGACTTCAGATTCACCCCCAAATCTCTCTCAAATACGTTCACAATAAAACCCAAATCCATCCATCCATCATCAGTTTAAAGCCGAATGCGCTAATGGCAAAGCCACACACAATCAGTCCACGGCACAGCTTTTACACAAAATACTCCCTGGGCTGCCATCAGTTTCAGCCATTAATTACAGCACTAATTTGCTAGAGTACATCTTTACAGCCTGTGTATATATGCAGCCACAGACCTCCACAGAAACACCTATAGATCTTATTCTGTTCAGGAAAGATCTTATTAAAATGGCTGCAAGCTGTGTTTGAAGGAGCTTAAAAAGAGGAGCACAGGCCAAGGTCGATACGACTGTGAAAACACAGCAAGAGACGGACAATCACCTTACAGACCTCCCTCGGTGCTGCAGAGGAACGAAGATGTTCAAATGTACAGTATAACTGACACGAAAATTATATACTCTTATTTTGTGAATATATATGTTGCAAGCATGAATTTGGCTAAGCCAAAATAGATAATCTCATAAATAAATGGTACTACTTCTAAAATAAAACTAGTCAAATAAATGTTTTAAATAAAAATTTTAAATTTGAAAGTATATTATATATTAAATAAAATATTTCAGATACATATATTCTCTTAAAATTATACTACATAAAATATTTAAAATAATTTTCATCTTTATTTTAAAATATTTTATAGATTAAAAGTAATACTACTTCTTAAATATAATATAGTAATATATAGTAAATCAAAAACACTTGTTTTAGTATCGCTGAGATACTATTTCTGTAGTTATTATTTTGTATTTTTTTATAAAATATTTGAAATTTGTTTTCATTTTAATTTTAGTTAATGTTTTACTGTATTACTGTAATTTTTCATTTTTGTTTTTCTAAAATATGTCTATATAGTTTTTATAAATTTTTATTTCAGTACATCAGCTTAAATTAAATGAAATAATTTTTATTTAATTATTTATGTATATATTTATTTATTTAGCTAGCTTTGGCAACTAGCTAAAATAAAATATGTTTAAGTTTTTTAATTTTTTATTTTATTTCAGTTATTTATTTTATTTTAAGTAACAAAATGCTTTTTAACGGTTTTGGTTCAATATAATAATCTTGATAAGATAAGATAAGAACAAAAAATAAATAAATAAATACTAGATGAGTAAAGTCCTTTCTTTGAGACTCGACATGGTTTAATGAAGTGATCGAGCATCTGTGTAGCACGCCACCGTTTTTAATTAAACTTGGCTTGTTCCTGTCATAGTGTCATCATGGTCTGTTTCCTGCCAGTAAGTCCTGGCACAGCAGACGGCGTGATGTGGCACACTAATGTATTACAGACGAGAGCTGTGCCTCTACAGGGGGCCAAGAACAAAGAGTAATTAAAGAATACGTCAATTTCAATGTTCTTCAGCCTCTCCTTGTTAAGGTGCCTTAACCTCACACTCTGACCACTCACAGTGCATGAGAAAAACACTTCCCCGCAGGTTAACTCAATTAAATTGGTATTTATAGTTCGGTGCTCAAATCACAGTCTGTCAATAAGCAATATATAATGTTTTGGAGCATTACAGTTTTTTAAAATCTCTTGTTTTAAGGCCAATTTTGTTTCTAAATGACATATGAAGGCCTGTAGAGGTCATTGTTTAGATATGATCCAGATGCATTGAGCTTTGGTGCTCATTTGGGAAAAACAGGTTTGAATCCTACATGCAACATATCCAAATCTGATTTCTTGCTCCAATATTTCTTGTCACTCATCAACAGAATGGCATAAAGTCCCCAAAAATGCATCCACAGCAAGAACTGAATAAAAACAAGGATCGATCACATCTCAAATCAAGGCCTAGTTAGACAGCGAGATGTGTGCTGTGTTAGTAAGAGCAGCTGTCATACTCTGACAGTGAGGATCTGCACTGTCACATGTCCACAAACGAGAGCGATCGCATGCGTATGTCTCTGGGAACACAGACTGCTGCAGTTTTAATAACCAGCAAGTGATTTGTACATGTCAGAGGGAGTCTAGTCTGTAGATCCTGAACCAGCTCAGGCTTCATTACACAGCGGTGCCATAAATCAACACTCACGCTCTCCGTAACAATGCTAAATCATAGAACAAATCATCCCCACTGACTGGAATTGCTTTCCCCTCTTTTATGTCTGGAGACCATTTTAAAATCTAATCAACCTCGGCTGTCAAGGTAGCTTTATCATGTCTGGAAATCTCTCTATGCACTGCTAAGATCATGCAATTTTAAGCAAAAACAACCATATACAGATGTAATATCACATCCATCACTGTTAAGACATCAACTAGAACATTAATGTGTTTATATATTAATTGATGCATTTTTCATTCATAAATTTAAACAACAAGTAACAAACCTACTGCTTTTAAAGGAATGAACATATGATAAAACAAACTAATCTTTAATAAATAATTACATTATTTAATGATAAAAATGATAATAATAAAAAAAATCCAAAAAGTAATATTGCTCATAAGCCTACAGTTTACAGTTGCCAATTCTGATTTGCAGGTATGAATAATATTATATTATAAGCTCTAAAATACATATAAAAAAATATAATTTCTAATAATGTGATTCTTTTTGTATATATTCACATCAAGCTTTATATAACATCATAAAATATTACATATAAATATTTTATATTATTTTATATTATAGACTCTAAAATACATATAAAAATAGTATTTCTAATATTTTAATAATTTTTGTAGATATAGAAATCCAGCTTTAAACAACAGCATAACATAGGCTATTACATATTATATTATATTATATAGGCTCTAAAATGCATGTAAGAATAATATAATTTCTAATATTGTCATTATTTTTGTATATATATTCACATCAAGCTGTTTATAAAAAACATAAAATATTGCATATAATCACATTATAGGCTCTAAAATGTGTATAAAAATTATATAGTTTCTAAAATTGACATCCAGCTTTATATAAGATCATAAAACATTATATTATATTATATTATTGTGCTCTAAAATACATATAAAAATAATGTATATTTTTAATCAGTTTTTGGTGGGGTGGGCTTATATTATACATGCAGGGTTTTGAGATAATTCAATATCAAGAATAATCTAATAAATTTTATTTACACTAAAATTAGTATGTAGAATATCTGTTATGAAGCTTCTTTAGGAAAGTACTACATATAAAAAAGCGAAAAATTTAAATAAATAAAAGTGATTTTTTTTTTCAGAACTGCTAAACATCTTACAGATTGTGAAAGAGGAGTGTAATGAGATATATGAGAGCGCTGGTACAATGAATGTGTGTAAGGGGTGTTTATCCTGACACAAGCAGCAGCTGCTTCAAGCTCTGTGTGATACTCTTTTCGACAGTAATAATCAGCTCTGGCTCCTCAGTTGAACAGGGGACTGACAGTTTCACCAGGAACACACACCAATCCAATTAAGCCCTAATTGAGTGTTGCAAGGTCCATTGATTACTACTGCCTCTGAGTAATAGAACGAGCAAGAGGCGAGACAACCTCAGAAATTAGGCACGCGACCCTGGAGGTTTCAGGGTGTCAGAACGTAATGTTGGGGCCAATGAGGGTGAATCTGCTTTGGAGACTCTATTTGCTTTCTTCTGTCAGACTCCAAAATCATCCACTCTCACACAGATGAGTACTTTGAGAAAATAGATGTTGTTATGCAACATATGGAAGAAGACAGAGAATGAAACTGACATGGGTGTGTAAAAGTGGCTCTGGACTAGGCGTTGGTGTGTCCTAAGACTTTCTTGCCACTTATAAAGGGGTAGGGAATGATCCTGGGTTGTTTTGTAGACAAAACAATTTCACCTTGAGAAGAAAGATGAGGACTGTCATTAGAAGTGTGTGATTTAACCTCAATGTCTTGATGTGGATTATCTGTGTTCACATTGTCCATGCGGTCTGAATCTGGATTAATCAGGTCCACATTGTCGTTAAAGGCATAAAAATTAAGACAGCATGCAGTGTTCATACAAAACCTCATTCAAAACACTGAACACATGGTTATTGCAAAGCTGTAAAGTAGGAAACCCAAGTGTGTGATACCCAAAAATCCACTTTGCTGAAGAAACGTACTGAACGCAAAGGGTCTCAAGGTGGGACTGAACTTTGGGATCTCTTGGAATCAAGGTAAGGAGTTATTCAAAATTTAATTAAATTGCTTCCAGTTTCTTTGTGACTTAACTGTATTTTTTTATTGGTACTTAATGCAAAAACAATTTTTTTAGAAAGGAACTAACTGTGGATTGGGAAACTATCCGGAAATTAAAAAATAACAATAAAAAAGCTTTGTACTTTTCACAAATAAAAATGAGATTAGATCAAAACAAAACAAAAAATTATGTAAATGAAGCATGATATAAGAAAGAATTCAATGCAAATATACACATATTTAACAGAAAAGCACGTCTAAATATATCATAAACGTTAACAGAACAGCTGCATAATTAAATTATTGATTGTCTTGTTTATGAATGCATGTGGGTCATGACCAAAGATGCACGGTGTGATGGATCAATTCACACAATCATCCATGATGCAACTGTTCTATAATTATTCGCAAAGGTCAGGTGCGCACGCGCCTGCATGGAGCGTTTTTACCTGAAGTCAGGAGATGGTGAGTTATCAAAATAATTTGTGTTTCTCACGTGCCATTGAAAAACAGACATGCATGACGACTGAGTAACGTTACTGTTACTTTTCTAAGCAATCATACTTTAGATTTTCGACGATAAAATGTTGAGACAATCCCATAGACACTGAAGGAAGGACCTGTGCCATATCTGGCAGGTTACTGGCCCAAGTTAAAATAATAAAAAAGTTAATAAATAAATAAATAAATGCATACATACATAAAATTTGGGGGCGGCCTTTTTATTTATTTATTTTAACTTGTAACCTGTCAGAACCCCTTAGCAATGGCATAGCAACATGCTAAACGTCCCTCAGAAAACCTTAGCAATACCCCAGCATTGTGGCGCTGACTACTTCAAAACAGACCATTACAACAGTAGATGTATTCTAGTTTTTCATTTACACCACATTGATACCATTAAGTCACAAATTACATTTTAGTGTGGTTTGACAGATATGGTCAAGTCACAAGCTGCTGAAATTTGCTTTATAGTAGCCTATTTCACTTTAAGTGAGTATACTCTTTGCCCTTATACTTATATATCCAACTTTACATAGAGAGCTGTACAATATAGTTTACATTTTGCAAGGATAAACTATCAAGGAGTAGAAATTTGCTATATATTGCTTTACATGGGTTTACTGTGTAAATATGTTAATAAAGTTGGTTTTGCAATTTTAAAACAGATATTCAGATACATTTAAGGAAAGGAAAGGATGTGTAGCCAAGTATTGTGTCCCATAGGCTACTCGGAAATCCCTCAGGCAATCCATCTCATGAACAGTTAAATGTTCTCCCCACTGTGCAATACCCAACTATCTACACTTATATTTATTATACGTATGTTATTAATTGAATATATCTTACATCTATCCACATTCCCTTGCATTATTTGTATATAGCACATCTGAACATACAATATACTGTCTACTGTCTTTTTGTATTGTGTATTGTTTTTACATATTTATTTTTACTCACTTCTTTTTATTTTGTTATCTGTGTCTTGTCACTTGTCAACCTGTCTGTGCACTGGAAGCTCCTGTCACCAAGACAAATTCCTTGTGTTGTAAGCACCATAGACTGTATAAAAACATGGACATTTTCGTGTTGGCTTCACGAGAGAGAGAGAGCGGGAGGTTGCCGCTTGGTAAGCACACTTGGCAATAAAGCTCTTTCTGATTCTGAGCTCTGCATTCCCCCATCCAAGTGCACACACACAGCAGTGAATAGTGAACAAACATGCACACACACCCAGCGCAGTGGGCAGCCATATTGCTGTGGCACCCAGGGAGCAGTTGAAGGTTCGGTGCCTTGCTCAAGGGTCTCACCTCAATTGAAGGTGGAAGAGAGCGCTGGTTATTCACCTACAATCCAACAGCGCTTAGGTAGGTAAGGTACAGAGACTCAAACCTGCGACCTTTGGGTTACAAGTCCTACTCTCTAACCATTAGGCCACGACTGCCCAGAAACGGTCATTGCCTGACTGGGAATTTAATCTGGGCCGTGGCGGTGAGTGCGCCCAATCCTAACCACTAGACCCAAAATCTAAAAGGGCATTAAGATATCTTTAATACTTCTTGAGTTACAGGCATGCAAACTTTGGAGAAAAAACTTGAAAAATTCAAGTTTACTGTTACTTTTCTAAGCAATCATACTTTAGATTTTCGACGATAAAATGTTGAGACAATCCCATAGACACTGAAGGAAGGACCTGTGCCATATCTGGCAGGTTACTGGCCCAAGTTAAAATAATAAAAAAGTTAATAAATAAATAAATAAATGCATACATACATAAAATTTGGGGGCGGCCTTTTTATTTATTTATTTTAACTTGTAACCTGTCAGAACCCCTTAGCAATGGCATAGCAACATGCTAAACGTCCCTCAGAAAACCTTAGCAATACCCCAGCATTGTGGCGCTGACTACTTCAAAACAGACCATTACAACAGTAGATGTATTCTAGTTTTTCATTTACACCACATTGATACCATTAAGTCACAAATTACATTTTAGTGTGGTTTGACAGATATGGTCAAGTCACAAGCTGCTGAAATTTGCTTTATAGTAGCCTATTTCACTTTAAGTGAGTATACTCTTTGCCCTTATACTTATATATCCAACTTTACATAGAGAGCTGTACAATATAGTTTACATTTTGCAAGGATAAACTATCAAGGAGTAGAAATTTGCTATATATTGCTTTACATGGGTTTACTGTGTAAATATGTTAATAAAGTTGGTTTTGCCATTTTAAAACAGATATTCAGATACATTTAAGGAAAGGAAAGGATGTGTAGCCAAGTATTGTGTCCCATAGGCTACTCGGAAATCCCTCAGGCAATCCATCTCATGAACAGTTAAATGTTCTCCCCACTGTGCAATACCCAACTATCTACACTTATATTTATTATACGTATGTTATTAATTTAATATATCTTACATCTATCCACATTCCCTTGCATTATTTGTATATAGCACATCTGAACATACAATATACTGTCTACTGTCTTTTTGTATTGTGTATTGTTTTTACATATTTATTTTTACTCACTTCTTTTTATTTTGTTATCTGTGTCTTGTCACTTGTCAACCTGTCTGTGCACTGGAAGCTCCTGTCACCAAGACAAATTCCTTGTGTTGTAAGCACCATAGACTGTATAAAAACATGGACATTTTCGTGTTGGCTTCACGAGAGAGAGAGAGCGGGAGGTTGCCGCTTGGTAAGCACACTTGGCAATAAAGCTCTTTCTGATTCTGAGCTCTGCATTCCCCCATCCAAGTGCACACACACAGCAGTGAATAGTGAACAAACATGCACACACACCCAGCGCAGTGGGCAGCCATATTGCTGTGGCACCCAGGGAGCAGTTGAAGGTTCGGTGCCTTGCTCAAGGGTCTCACCTCAATTGAAGGTGGAAGAGAGCGCTGGTTATTCACCTACAATCCAACAGCGCTTAGGTAGGTAAGGTACAGAGACTCAAACCTGCGACCTTTGGGTTACAAGTCCTACTCTCTAACCATTAGGCCACGACTGCCCAGAAACGGTCATTGCCTGACTGGGAATTTAATCTGGGCCGTGGCGGTGAGTGCGCCCAATCCTAACCACTAGACCCAAAATCTAAAAGGGCATTAAGATATCTTTAATACTTCTTGAGTTACAGGCATGCAAACTTTGGAGAAAAAACTTGAAAAATTCAAGTCAACAGATTTTACCAATAGATATACCAATCTCTGTGTAAAAATAATATAATGATGCTGCCATCTTTATAATGATGCTGCCTGCCCCCCCGCCCTCTTCAAAATAGTGGATTACTCAGTAGATATAAATTTCGCCAGTTTTATTGTAAATGAAAAACAGAACATATTAATTTAATACAATGAATATATCAGCAATTCTGGCTGATTCGAAATCACATACTTTCGCATTTTTTACGAATTACTTCTCGAAAAAGTACAAACCCGATTCCAAAAAAGTTGGGACACTGTACAAATTGTGAGTAAAAAAGGAATGGAATAATTTACAAATCTCATAACCTTATATTTTATTCACAATAGAATATAGATAACATATCAAATGTTGAAAGTGAGACATTTTGAAATGTCATGCCAAATATTGGCTCATTTTGGATTTCATGAGAGCTACACATTCCAAAAAAGTTGGGACAGGTAGAAATAAGAGGCCGGAAAAGTTAAATGTACATATAAGGAACAGCTGGAGGACCAATTTGCAACTTATTAGGTCAATTGGCAACATGATTGGGTATAAAAAGAGCCTCTCAGAGTGGCAGTGTCTCTCAGAAGTCAAGATGGACAGAGGATCACCAATTCCCCCAATGCTGCGGCGAAAAATAGTGGAGCAATATCAGAAAGGAGTTTCTCAGAGAAAAATTGCAAAGAGTTTGAAGTTATCATCATCTACAGTGCATAATATCATCCAAAGATTCAGAGAATCTGGAACAATCTCTGTGCGTAAGGGTCAAGGCCGGAAAACCATACTGGATGCCCGTAATCTTCGGGCCCTTAGACGGCACTGCATCACATACAGGAATGCTACTGTAATGAAAATCACAACGTTGTCTCTTTCAGGGAAGACCTTGCATTTTCCAACATGACAATGCCAGACCACATACTGCATCAATTACAACATCATGGCTGCGTAGAAGGATCCGGGTACTGAAATGGCCAGCCTGCAGTCCAGATCTTTCACCCATAGAAAACATTTGGCGCATCATAAAGAGGAAGATGTGACAAAGAAGACCTAAGACAGTTGAGCAACTAGAAGCCTGTATTAGACAAGAATGGGACAACATTCCTATTCCTAAACTTGAGCAACTTGTCTCCTCAGTCCCCAGATGTTTGCAGACTGTTATAAAAAGAAGAGGGGATGCCACACAGTGGTAAACATGGCCTTGTCCCAACTTTTTTGAGATGTGTTGATGCCATGAAATTTAAAATCAACTTATTTTTCCATTAAAATGATACATTTTCTCAGTTTAAACATTTGATATGTCATCTATGTTGTATTCTGAATAAAATATTGAAATTTGAAACTTCCACATTGCATTCTGTTTTTTTTCACAATTTGTACAGTGTCCCAACTTTTTTGGAATCGGGTTTGTATTTTGTTATCTGTGTCTTGTCACTTGTCAACCTGTCTGTGCACTGGAAGCTTCTGTCACCAAGACAAATTCCTTGTGTTGTAAGCACCATAGACTGTATAAAAACATGGACATTTTAATATTTTACAGCCAGCCTCTAGCGGCCAGTTGACGAATTACAGTTTAAGTCACGTCCGTGTTGGCTTCACGAGAGAGAGCGGGAGGTTGCCGCTTGGTAAGCACACTTGGCAATAAAGCTCTTTCTGCTTTTGAGCTCTGCATTTCACCCATCCAAGTGCACACACACAGCAGTGAGTAGTGAACAAACATGCACACACACCCAGCGCAGTGGGCAGCCATATTGCTGTGGCACCCAGGGAGCAGTTGAAGGTTGAGTGCCTTGCTCAAGGGTCTCACCTCAATTGAGGGTGGAAGAGAGCGCTGGTTATTCACCTACAATCCAACAGCAGTAGTTGTATATCTCAGTAGATATAAATTATATCTCAGTAGATATAAATTACCCTATGTTATTTTGTACAATTTAGCCAGTTTTATTGTAAATGAAAAACAGAACATATTAATTTAATACAACGAATATATCATCAATTCTGGCTGATTCGAAATCGCATACTTTCGTATTTTTTACGAATTACTTCTCGAAAAAGTATGTTCTATGTAGTATGAATATATGTAGTATAACTGTAGTATAAATTCGCTATGTTGTTGTTATTATTATTATATTATGTGACCTACCAGCGTGGAATATGGGAGTAATGTTTGTGTTTAGATGTGCCAGTTTCAGTTTTCATCATTAATTTCTCACATACTTTATCTTCATTAACTCCATCTGCGTCTATGTGTATATATAGCAATTCATTGTCAGCTAATGCAATGGCAGTGTCTGTTGTCACCTGACCTTCTTTATCCTCCACTAAAAGCCTTACTGTCAATGGCACGGCACCATGGAGACTGTTTTCTTGGTAAATGGTGAATGGAGGTCGTCCCCAGAGCCCTTGAGTGATGGTGGCTCATAAGAAGTCATTACAGGCAGCATCCATCTTGGGCTGTGTGCTCAATGGTGTTGCCTGCTTAATCAGTTTCCTCCTTGTCAAAGCTCCTGTGGACACTGACAGGATCCCATTGAGGTTTAACCGTGCCAGAATGAATCGTCTAAGCACACTACACCGTTTCAAAGGCCAGCCACAATGATGATACTGACGGGATTCACAATGTAATTCTGTTGGGGTCATTTGTTACACCAGCACCAGTCCAGTGTGTAAGATGTGTGTGAATGTAACAGTAGGAGGAATATTACACGGACCAAGCTTCTACATGTGTCGGCCTGACTCATTATGAAAATAAAGAAAACAGAGCCGTGGTTTCATGTCTTCAGTGAATGGTGCACTGTATCTTTTTTAGGAATGGCTGCATTGGGTTCTTTGAAATTGGAGAGGGAAGATAGGATAGTCAAAGATCGGAAAGATGTTAGCCTTATATCTCTCAGATACGTTTCATACAGTAATTCATTGTCAAAGTTATTTGGAAATTAGATGCGTCAGAACCTTCCACATAAAGGTGTTTGATGGAACTAACCGTTGACCTTCTCCGAACCAGATATAAGCAAACTTTCAGGCACATTTCCATGATGTAATCAAAGCTCTTCAAAGCATTCTTTGTTCTGCAACCTTTATTTGTAAATCCTGCTTTGCTTTGTCTCCAGATTTTTTTTTTGCCCTTTCCCAAGTTCTCGGCATTGTTATGAATGGATTTTTATATCTTTTCTTAACCATCTTTGGCTGTAATCCCTTCATAATGAAGGCAACAATGCAGCTGAAGGTTGCAAAAGCCTCCGTGTTCCCTCATACTAAAGAAGGGGGCGTGGTCATTTGGTGGGTGTGGCAATACACCTTAAAGGAATAGTTCACCCAAAGATTTTCTTAAAATGTACTCGCCCTCAGGCCATCCAAGATGTTGATGAGTTTATTTCTGAATGTAAAAGTAGCACCCTACCTGATTTTTTTTTTTCTTCCTCTGAACTGCTAGTCCTTCTTAGTTGGGTTTTGTAATTGGATTATCGGCTGCACTTTTTGTTTCTTTAGCAAACAGGGCCTCCGACAAGGCTGTGTTTGCATTATGTAACTGTTTGGTGCTCTAATAAGTGAACTTTGACGCACAAGTCTTTTAGTGTTGATGGGTCACTATTGTTATTCTCCTCATTCTGGATCATATTACCTTTTTTGTTATTTCCATAGTTTAAAAATCCATATGGTCAAGTAGCAAGCATTTTACTCAAAGTAACTTAGAGTACACTTCAGGGACAATCCTGCAAATCTGCAATCAGAGGATAACACAAAAAGTGCACCTAAAATGAAATTTTGTGCGTTGAAAATAAAAGAAGGAATGCTAAAGAATTATGAAAGCAAATAGAGACTCAGAGTGTCAGGCTAAAAAAGCAACATTATTATTGAACAGTTAGTTAATATATAATTTATAATCAGTTCTGTATTTTGATTATTGGGTAGTAAAAATCATCTTTAAAAAAAAGGTCAGTGTTCAAAAAAAGAAGTCCATATGATTTTTACACAATATTCCAATTATTCTGAAGCCATTCAATATTTTTAAATGAGAAACAGACCCAAATCGAAATCAATTTACACTCAAAATTTAGTTTTTTTGGTGATTTATGCGTATGTCACATCAGATTGCACCATTAAGGGTTTGAACTTACAACCGTTCGACTCCCAGCCTCATTTAACCACTGGGCCACATCACTATTTATAAGCAAATATAAACAGTACTGTGCTCTTTTAGGCTAGATCCAGTTTGAGAGCACAGAGATGTTTATTATTCTGTTCTTTATGTATGTAGAGCTCTGGCTGATCCTGGCTCTGTTGTACTACCCCGCATTGTACTACCCTCTTCTGGCCTGCGGGACGCTGCATAACAAGGTGGGTTACGTCTTGGGCAGCCTGCTGTCGTGGACACACTTTGGAGTTCTGGTCTGGCAGAAGGTGGACTGTCCCAAAACGCCACAGGTACGACTTACCATGGATATATGGATCTAAAAAAATCACCTGTAAAATATAAGCATACTCTCCCACTTTGAATGAGACTTTCAGATTCTTCTGTTCATTACCCTCATCCCATCAGTCCTCCGTTTTGTTCCCATATTTATGCTGCGGCACCCGGGGAGCAGTTGGGGGTTCGGTGCCTTGCTCAAGGGCACCTCAGTCGTGGTATTGAAGGTGGGAGAGAGCGCTGTCACTCCCCCCCCACCTACAATCCCTGAGTCCGACTCTCTAACCATTAGGCCACGACTTCCCAATGTATATTTATGTATATTTAGATATTAAGACTGCACAACTGCTTCACTTATTCATATTTGAAAGGTTAGTTCAGGTTGTGAGATGTCAGCTCCCCCAAAAATGAATGAAAAGGATGAATGAATAATTCATGATATTTGTAACCAATGTCTCTGATGTTCTGATATCATAATAAATAAATAGATAATATATGAAAGATTAATGTAGAGAAATATATGTTTAAAGGATGAAATTCTGGCATAATCTAATCTAATTAAGGCATAATCTTTTATTATTATTTCTTTAATGTAACCGCTTTAATGATTATTATTATTTGAAAAACAAGGTTGGTTCAGGTTGTAAAATAATTATGTGTTCATCATGTTCAATGATGTTCATCTTATTTGTGAATTAATAATTCATAATATTTGTACCTTGAAAAATACATTTAAAAACGTTTAAAGCTTTAAAATAATTAATATGTGTACTACATTCACATGTCAAGGTGTAAAGAAAATTGTATTAATTTTTACTTGGTCATTAGATTAGAACTTTTCTTGAACATGGTATTAAAGTTTTGAAAGCCGCATTAAACCATACTTCACATGCGTTTTAAACTAGTTTTTAAAATATTTTTGGTTTTCTTTATCATGGATGCTCTTATTTGCCATTGATCCATTTGTATTTAGCATTGTTTTCCCCCTAATGTACTGTAGACGACCATGTTACAACAGACCTGTGACCCATTTTTGGGCCACGACCCACCAGTTAAGCGCCGCTGTGTTAATTCATAATGAAGGGACTTAGGAGCATGGAAAGGCAAGAGGAGAGTTTGTAAACTCGGCAGCTGCATTCCAGAGCTCTAATCATTGTAAGCAGCTCAGTGGGATTGGGTTATGTTTGACTCGCAGAGCACATTACACAAACAGTGTGTTGTTTTCCCATAGGAAATAGACAACGCCAGTGTTATTCAGCTATAATCGCTATGACGAATACGTTTGGTTGGAATAAGAGGAGAGATCATAACACATCTAAACTGCGAGTAAACGATGTGACAAACGATGTGTTTTTTTTTAATTAACGAAACTGTCTATAAGTCACACTACATGATAGTCAGCGTTTTTAATTTTGAGAAGATTTGGTGTAATTTTTTTTAATTATTATTATTATTTGAACTTTCTTGCAGGACCTCAGTAGCAGTTACTATCGAGACTATGTGAAGAAGATTCTCAAGAAGAAGAAGCCCACCAAAATCAGGTGATGCACACTTACGTGGACACCATTATTTATTAACCCAAAGGTTCGAGAAGCTTAAAACAGCAGAAATTATACTAGTAACCCATAATAAGACATTCACAGAGAGCTGATGGTGATCATATGGACCCTTTGTACAACATGATTGTACAAAGAAAAGTAAATGAATGAATTTTTGCAAATGTTTTTATGTTGGCTTCACATTTAAAAACTTCTAATTTACAACATGTTTCATCAATGTTATCCATTTTAAATGTTAATTGTTTTTAATACATTTTATTATAAGATAAATTAGGCTTTTCAAACCCCCAAAGAATGAATAAAAAATACTATAAATTCTATAAATACTATAAATAAATAAAAATGCTAAAATGAAACATTTCAGGCCCTATTTTGTAGCTTATTAATGGGAAGTGTTTGTCATACTGCAATGTTAACTAATCTTTTTAAACCGTTTTGGTAATGGAATGGATTCCAATTGTAATGAAAGAAAGGAAAGGTAAGGTACTTTCTATTATAGCAATCAGTCCACTGTACAATAGACAGGCAGATGGGATATTGTCTATAGACTAGTTCCTTCCTCATTTCCATTGACAGGAGGTGAATTACACCTACTGTAAATTCACTTATGCAAAGATTGGTAGATAGTGAGTCTGAATTGTGAACTAATGCCATTCAGTCTGTCTGTACTGTACAGATGCTGATCTTCTTTATGCAAAAATATACTGAGTGTCTGAAATGTCATTGAATATAGTCCTGTGAGCCATGTGAGGGAACGTGTCCTGTTACGTGGAAACTCCTTTGTGTCAGTAGGATATAGTCTACATAGGAACACAACGTAATGAAGGGAAATATGCATTGATAAGAGTGGTAGATGTAGGAAGGTATAAGGCATATATCGATAAACTTCAGATATAACTCAAATATCAAGAGACCATGAGGTTGCAGGTTTAGACTGGTTGTCCAAAGGTTGCAGGTTCGAATCCCATTAAAAGTCATTGTGTAAAGGGCGACTTTATAATATACTGTAAATGACTTTAGAGGAAAGCCTCTACTAAATGTCTAATTGTGCATTTGAAAGAAAATGAAGGGCTGTTATTTTTAACATTATATTAAATGATGTTTCTTCTTGTTGTTTATGGCTGTTATCTCTTGCTTTTGCAGTTCCAGCGCATCAAAACCCAAACTGTTTGAAAGACTCCGAGATGCTGCCAAGTCTTACTTCTACACACCAGAGGATGGTAAAAAAAACTAGCATGTCAATAAAGCAATAAGCCCAGTGAGGCCGTGGTTTACAGTGAATTTATAACAGCTAAGGAGTGTTGTTAGGCACGACGCGAAGCTTAGCTGTTATAAATTCACTGTAAACCACGGCTTCACGGGGCTTATTGCTTTTATAAAACTGTTATTCCATGTACGTAGTTAGGTTTCACAAAATAAAACAGAGCAAATAAAGTGTAATGATATTAATAAAAACAGTATTCTTCCACCAAACAATGTAGTTCCTCAGAAACAGTTGTGGTTGCAACAAAGTGGTTGCCAAGCAACAGACAAACGTAAACAAAGGTGTATGTTTGTAGAGTAATTTACAACAGCTTCGAATGCGGCTCAAACAATCAGAATCAAGGACTGGAACTATCCGTTCTATCCACCTTTTTCTTCAACGCGGAAGTAAGCCTATGGGCGAGATTCCGGTTCATTAGCCGCTGTAGGGAAATAACGAGGAGAATAACAACGTGCAGTAAACGGTAAAACTGTTTGCACTACAAACCAGTGTGTTCATAATTAAGATAATACATTAAAATAATATGGTAAGACACACCAGTTTTCAATATCAAGCAGCAAAAGGAGCGGTTCTGAACAGCTAAAAACAGCTGGACGCGGATGAGACCGGAAGCTAGACCCACAGAGTTTACAAATGGCCGCGCCGATTTTTACGGTAAGAAAAAGGTGGATAAAAATATATTTACACTACCATCCAAAAGTTTGGGATCAGTAAGATTTATTTATCTATATATTGTTTTTCTTTTATTCAGCATGGATTGATGCATTCAATTGATGGAAAGTTTCAAAAGTTGCACAAGTTAGAATATTCTGTTCTTTTAAAACTTTCTTTTCATCAAAGAGTCAAGAAAAAACTGATATTGATAATAAATATTGTTATTGATAATTATAAATACTTCTTGAGCAGCAAATCAGCTTATTAGGATGATTTCTGAAGGATCATGTGACACTGAAGACTGGAGTAATGATGCTGAAAATTCAGAAATAAATGACATTTTAAGATATATTGAAATAGAAAACAGTTGCTTTCAAACAGAAATAATATCTCACATTTTTTACTGTAGATTTGATCAAATAAAAGCAGCCTTGGTGAGCAAAAGAGACTTACCAACCCCAAACTTTTAAACGGTAGTGCTTGTATTCATTTACTGTAATTTTATTTATTTTCCATCAGTTTTTAGGTTCCCTTTGAAACTAGCGATCTCTGTGGTTGTGGCGTTCATTGCTCTTTATCAGGTAAACGCTTGAACAAGCGAGCCCTTTTTAGCGTTATTTCGGTCTAAAAGTATTAATTAATGTGCTTTTAACTAAAGTATCATGTTAGTTTTTCCAGGCATTTTCCATTCTTTTGAATGTCTTAGATGGCGCTCTTACTGGTCTCAGGCGTGCTGCCCACCCTACACATCGTCCGTAGAGGAGTGGACGAAAACATCGCCTTCCTGTTGGCCGGTTTCAATATCATCCTGTCAGATGACCGTCAGGAGGTGGTCAGGATTGTAGTGTACTATCTGTGGTGTGTGGAAAGTGAGTCAGTTGCCATTCTCATTCTTCTTATACTTAGGCTGTTCTGTTGAAGGCCATAGACGTGATTTTACGGGACGATGTGCAATACGTCTGAGAGAGATCAATTTTGCTTCTGTTATACTATGTAAATCTACGTTAGTTGGAAAGCCTATTTGCCATGTTAGATGATAACATTTTAAATCGCCGATAAGCTTTGTTAATTGTGACCGACTCTGTGACCGGGACTCAATTTGCCCAAAATCGAGTGCTACACTGTAATTTACTGTACATGACCTATTCAGTCTGCCAAATATAGTGAATGCTGGACAAAGCTCACAATTTTTTGGGATGGTGGCCACACTCAATCTGTGGCCACAAAAGCCTCCAGAAATTCAGTCCGATTCAAACGCCAAAAAAAAAAAAAGAAGAAGTGTGCTTAGTTGTATTGAATGTGTTCTTGTAGTGTACTTCTTACAAATATTTAAGTATCAAATCTTAAAAGTATTTTTTTTTAAAAGCTGTACTTAAAGAGAGACACTTACATTACTGTTTTTAACACACTTGAGCACACTTAGAAAGTGCACTTTGTAATAATTTAAAGTTTTAAATCATTGTTTTAATACTTTTTGGTATGCTTTAAAGTACACATATTTTGATGTGTTGACCAACTAACATAATTTGAGTAAATATATTTTAAATGTACTAAATTGCTACGTCATCGTTACAAATGTGTAATTAGATTTATATAATAAAATATAATATACAATTATATGTAAATACATGGCAACAACAAAAAAACAACTTTAGTTGACCATAAATGCTTGTCAGTTCATTCGGCTGTACACTTTAACCATATTTCAAACACAATATAAGTATTTATGAAATTACACATAAAGATGTGCTTAAGTCCTACTTAAGTGGGTCAAAAAATAACTTTTAAAGTTCAACTCATTACATTTAATATAGATTTAAACTATAATACATTTTCATTTAATTGTAAATAACACAATTATGTGTCGGAAAACATTACATACAGTTCAGACTTAAGTATATTCTTTTAAAGTATATTATTTCCGTAACTACAAATAATCTTTACTTGAAATAAATCAAAAGTTAACTGAAATAAAGAGTTATTAAAAATACATATTTAATCATTTGTCTTTTTTCTTTTTGTTTAACTTGAAATACTAAAATAACTCAAACTAAAACTGAAATAAAATTATTTATTAAGAACCATACAGGCATTTAAAAAATGACAAAAACACAACAACATTTAAAATTCAAATAAAAACAGAAAATATAAAAATGAAAGCTAATTAAATAAAAAGCTATAATGAATATATAAATATACTATATATATAGTATATTTATATATTCATAATAGTTTTCTATTTAATTAGTTTTCATTTGTATATTTTCTGTTTTTATTTGAATTTAAAATTTTAATTTGGTTATTATAGGGAAACAAATGATCTTTATCATAACTGACTGCCTCTATTATGAATAACAGCTAGCTGGAGGTGAAACGGGGGGTGAAAATCCTTTTCTAATGAGAATGAGATAATTACAGTCAGGAATAGCAGATTAAAAATAATGACTTTTCAAATTGAGTTTTTAAATGTCGTTAATGGCAGTTTGACTCTGTGACCTGCAATTCCTTCTCAGTTTCTTCTTCATAAAGAGACGCCCCTATTCCCTGTATTTCTGCAGCCGCTGTATCTGTGTTCCCTCAGGTCTAATCTGAAGGGACTGTACAGAGGAGACATCTTTACTGTGTATAACTGCCACCGGAGCATTAGACCGTCCCGGCCTGCGCTGGTCTGCTGGATGGGCTTCACCAGCTTCCAGGCTGCCTTCATCTGTCTCGGTGAGAGCACATTTCCTCTCTGTATGGCATGCGAGACCCTTCTGTTCGAGAAGACCCTCATTCTCACTGCATAACTCTTTGCATTGAAGTGTAAAAATGTGAGAAAGACAATCTGAATTCTTTTTTTAACACTTACAATACACCAACAAACAACATTTAAACTGACCAAAAGTTTTTTTATTTTTTTGTTAATTAATTTTTAACAGTTCAAGGTCATTCTGGATTTATTTTCTTCTTCTGGACGTTTCCCTTAAAATCCATCATAGATGGAGATTATTATGTTGTAATTAAAATAAATAAATAAATAAATACAATTTATTTAGAATAATGTGCATTGATGATATGAGGAATATTTATTAAGAAAGTAAATAGGAGTTTGCTCTGTTAAATATATATTGTTATATTATATATGTTATATTTTTGATGTTCATTTATTTTTATTTTTAAATTAAAATATATTGTTACATTATAATAATCTTATGTAAAATATATTGTTAAAATGTATCATTATAATTTACAGTTGGTACATCAACAGACAATAAAAATTATTCATGAATAGAGAAAGTTATTATATTTTCTTCTTTTTTTTAATCTTTAGAATAATGTGCACCAGGAACATTTATTTAGAAAATAAATAAGGTGGATTTTGTGCTATTTTTATTAGATAAATGTATTTTATTTATTTTATATTAATTTTTTTATTTAATTTTATAATGTTTAAGTTTTCATTCTATTTTATATCTATATTAAATATATTATTTATAGTTAGTACATTAGCAGACAATCGAAATCAATCATAGATGGAGCAAGTTGTTATGTTTTGATGAAAAAAATTCTGTAGAATAATGTGCACTGATGAACTTTTAGGAATATTTAAGAGGTAAGGTAAACAGGTTGGATAAACAAGTAAATAAATAAATAAATAATTTCTTTTTTTATTAATTAATTATGTTGTTGTTTTCTTTTCTTTTGTTTTTGTTTTTTCTATTTAAAAAATATAATATTTACAGTTTAAAAAAAAGACCAGAAACATGTATTAAGAAACTAAAGTTGGTGTGTTTTGTGTTTTTTAAATATTTAAATAAATAAATGCATATTATATATATATATATATATACATATTTTTATTTTAATCAATTATTTTAATTATTTTATTTTCATTTCATTATTTCATTCATTGTTTTTTTTAACTCATGAAATAATATAATGTTATTTATGTTTTGTTTTGGTTTTTTCAAGTGCAAAGGTGATTATGAGCATATTTCGTTACTCCTGCATGTGTGATTGTGTCTGTGTCCAGGCATGGTGATCCAGACTCTGGTGTTCTTCATCTGCATTCTGTTCGCTGTCTTCCTCGTCATCATCCCCATCCTGTATGGAACCAATCTCGTGCTGTTCCGCATCATCGGCAAAATGTGGTGAGTGGCTTGGCTCTGCCGGACCGTGGCTCGGGTGATGATGACTGTGACTGTGAGCCACAAATCTCGACTATCAAGTCATCTCTCCTCATGAGCCATAAAGCCCAGCATTTAGACAAGTGCCTCTTTAGATGCTTCCCACTCACATGTTCTCTCTGCTGAAGGCCCTTCTGGTTGATGCTGTTCCTGGCTGTGCTGATCCAGCATGTGACTTCCAGGTTCTTGTTCATCAAGAAGGACGCAGGGACGAGAGATCTGAACAACAGGTGCTAATTATACATAATATTACAACAGTCAAAACATCTGTTGTGCCTCTTGCTGGTTATTGCTTCTAATGTTAGTGTGCATTCACCATCTGGTAGGCCATGAAAGACCAGCCAACAATAAACACACATCCACTTTCTGTACATTGTTATGAAACTTCTAAAGAATTTCATATTAACAGACATTTCAGATATTAAATGGTAAACATTTTTATTTTTCCAACACAATTGTTAATAATGTTTTTACAATTACATAATCATATTAATTGTGTTGTTACCTGGATGATCCACAACTGTTTTTGTTTAGTGTTGTGTTGTGTTGTGTTGTGTTGTGTTGTGTTGTGTTGTGTTGTGTTGTGTTGTGTTGTGTTGTTTTGGTTTGGTTTGGTTTTTGTTTTGTGATAGTTGTTTGTCCTGAACAGTTCAACTTTTGAATGGGGTCATTTTTATGAATTCTATTTTATGTGTAAACATCTTTTATGTGAAATATCTTATTCAGGTCAGTATTAAATAAAACATAACATGCATTTTGTATGATCACACTTATTTTATCCCTCCTATATATATTAAGCTTGTATGAGGAATCACTGAGGTTGGATGTGCTTTTTTTTCTTTCTTTACAGAGGGAGTCTGTTTCTTCTCAGCTACATGCTCTTCCTGATTAATGTCATGGTTGGTGTTATTCTGGGCATTTGGAGGATAGTCATCACTGCCCTTTTCAATATAGTCCACTTAGGACGCTTGGATATCAGCCTTCTCAACCGCAACGTCGAGCCGTTTGACTCAGGTACTGCTGGACAGAGCAACGCATTTACATTCAGATACCCTATTAACAATGAAGGTGCACTCATTTACCGTAAAATTACAGTCAAATGTATTGCTTTCATAAAATGAAATTAACACCCTTTATATCATCAATATTATATTTAATCATTTATTTTGTATTTTTAAAATATTTTATATATTTTCATTTTAAATATTTAATTATATCCAATATTTACATATTTTATATTTGTATATAATTTTTATATATTTCTGTGGTTTCAAACAAGACCCCTCCAATCAGACTCCAATCAGATTTAAGCTAGATTTGTAAGAAATATCAAATGTAACTGTACGTCTACTATATGCTGATATTTCTGATAAAAGTGCCTCACTGAAATTCGATTGCGACCAGAGATAACAGAACCCTCTGTAGTGTCAGCTGTTGGATGTGGTTGTTATTTGTATGTAGATTGTCTCTTCCGTGTTTAGGCTCACAGCGCTGTGCTTGTCTCTGCAGGATACCGCTGCTACGCTCATTACCTGAAGATCGAGGTCAGCCAGTCTCACCCCGTGATGAAGGCCTTCTGTGGGCTGCTGCTGCAAACCTCAGGCCAGGACAGTGTCTCTGCACAGAGGATGAGAGATGCTGAAGAAGGTCTGAGCTTTTGTTTCTTTATTGCTTCAGTTCATGACAACAATATGATGAAAATTAATTCATTGGAGAGCAGCCTGTTCCAGAGTCTGGTCTCAAACTCAAAGCTTTTAGTCTTCAGAACTAATTCAGAGCCGCTTGACTGAGGATGTGGTTTATTGTTTTAAAGCTGCACTCATTGAATTTGTCCAGTGAGCTTTATCAGTGAGTGTGTGGAAACCGAACTTGATTTCAGGCCTTCTGTGAGTCAAGCTGTTGAAAATAAAGATGCACTGAGCTGATTTCAAATAGGTACGAGGATGTTTTGAAAGGTTTGTTGTTGTTAAAAAATATATTTCAAAAAAATGACAGACATTTCACACACACACACACACACACACACACATATATATATATATATATATATATATATAATTGTAAATATATTCATATTAAATGTATTATATTTTATATTTTTGCAACAGGTATTGAGAGCACCAATTTGCAAACTATGCATAAAAAGTGCTGCATTATGGTTATTATATGTACTATATATAAGGGATAATTCCAAATTACCATAAAATTACCATAATCATTTAAAAATTATTATAATTATTATTATAAAATGTCACAAATAATTGTAATAATGACTTAATAACCTAGTTATATATCTAGAAAATATTGTAAAAAATCTTTTGTTATATAAAGTAATACGTTTTGTTATAATGTTTTATATAAAAAAAGATAACAGCTAATTACCATAAAATTACGCATTTTATAAATTATGTAAGGGATAATTCACAGCTAATTACCATAATTATAAAAAAAAGGAAATATAAAAAAATTTATGATTAATAAATAACCTTTTTTTATATATAAAATAATAAATGTTGTTATAATATTGGTATAGAACAAAGTATTATTTATAACTTGCCGTGCACCACATTGGCACAAACAGATTGAACTCCCAGTATGCAGTAGAGTTTAAAAGGAACAGATTAATTACATCTACTTTCAATGCATTTCAAAACAGAAAGCAGAGCAAAATGATGTTAGATCATCTGTGTCGAATCTCTGACCAAAGCCGAGATTCATATTGATCTATGTTTGATTTCTCCTGGGTGATTTATGTCTATTTGCACAGACAGTTGGTTGGCCTTGTTTTTGGAATAATTGATTCATCATGTTGCCCTGCACGCAGCAGGCGAGCGTTCCCGCAATGATTACATTTGTCAGGATAAATTGGGCCCCGGTGTGCAGTAACTCACCTCGGCCCTGCTGCTGCTCAATCAGACCTGTCAGAGAGACAGAGAGTCCATAGTGTGAACATCCTCTGTACATTCACAGTTCACATTGCTCATCTCCTTTCATAAAGCGGAGCAGAGATGGAATTCAAGCTGTACGTGTGTCTTAAGTCAAAGTCAGATCTGTCAGCGTTTGATGGGGTTTGCCGGATGATAGGCAGCAGATGGTGTGTATTCAACATTAAACAGCCCTGTCTTTTGTTGACTTTACACCTACAGATGTACTGATGCTTGCATTCAAAAACTCAAGGAATCTGATTTTCACATTTGTATTTTCATACAATATTAATTATTATCTGTGGAGAATTGTTAAAACTGGTAGGTTACACCGACTGAGCTCTGTAATTGACTTTTTCATATGTGTGTGTGTGTGTGTGTGTGTGTGTGTGTGTGTGTGTGTGTGTGTGTGTGTGTGTGTGTGTGACTCATAGTTTTTACACTCTGCATAATTGCACATTGCCATATTCCAACTGTGATACTGTGGTTTTGTGTTGCTGTGCTGTACGATTATGAAGTAGCGCTCTTTTATATGGACAGTATTTCTTTGCATTAAGTGTCTTTATTTTAGATGTCATTTTTTAAAGGAATATTTATTTAAGACTTATTAAAAAGCAAATCGGTTCATTTTACTGAATCAAAAGCATACACACGACCAGGGTTGTTCGATTCTCGAACGAATGACTCTTATGAGTCGGTTCTTTGAGGTGAATCATATACAGACAGTGCTACAAGTTGAGTCAATTTCGCCAAACGAATGACTCTTGTGAGTCGATTATTTTTAATGAATCATTTTAGTACATTTTTTGTTTTCCCAACAAATGATTCTCATGAGTTGGTTCAGTTAGTTAGTTAATGCAGTTGGTTAGTTAATAAAACAATTGGCTATAACTACACCGGTGAAGTCCAAATCACAAACGAAGGACTCTTATGAGCCGTTTCTTTGCAATGAATCATAAACAGACCGCGCTAGTGGAGTTCAGTCAATAGGCTTTGGTTCAGTTCACTTTTTCCAAACAAATGACTCTTCAATCAAATGAGCCTGTTCTTTTAATAAAAGGATGACTTTTTAAAAAAATAACTTATCCTGTCAGTCTGATGATTGATTCAGTGACTTGAATAGCAAGCGGTTACTGAATCAAACTGAACTGCAAGTTATATGTGTGTGTGTGTGTGTGTGTGTTTTGTAATATATAATAATAATGAATATGTACGTGTGTGTATATATATATAGATATAGGCTATATGTGAATAGATAGTATAACTATCTACGACTAAGACTAAACTATACGACTTTATCTACATGTTAATTTAACATCTTTCTTACATGTTCAACATTTTAAGGTATTCAATTGGTCCAGCAAGAGAAGAAGCAAAACAAGGTGTCCAACGCTAAGCGGGCGCGAGCGCACTGGCAGCTCCTCTACACGCTGGTCAACAACCCGTCTTTGGTGGGCACCAGGAAACATTTCCAGCGCCAGAGCTCTGAAAGCTTCATCAACGGAGCCCTCAACCGGACCTCCAAGGAAGGCAGCAAAAAGAAAGACAGCATCAAGGAGCCGAGCAAAGAGGCAGAAAGCGCCGCCACCAACAACTGAGGACTGCAGATCACCATGCGGAGAAAGAGATCGGCCCTCCCTGCCCCCCAGCCTCTTCATTCTTAATGGCTGCTGGCCAGATATTGATGATAGTATTATTTGCTTTGGTGTAGCAGAGAAGCACATGTGTTTTAGCTAAGTGCACTTACAGCTCAGTGCCTCAGGAAGAAGTTCATGCATGCAGTTGTAGTTAACGGATCCTTTGCACATGTGTGTGGATGGATGGATGTATTGTGTCTTTTGTTGCATGTGTGAGTGAGACTGTCTCTCCGTCTTGGGCTTAGTGTATCAGGAAATTTAGTTTGGCACTGAACTCCCGTCTAACCGCTTGATGCGAGGTTAGTATGTGTGACTATTTATGAATGTACAGGTTCTGCTCGTTTGCAAATTGACCAATTATTCATTTCCACTCAGCATCTTCATTTTTGCACTCATTGGTGTGACTAGTGGTGAGAATGTTATTATCATAGATGAAACCAATAATGTCCATTGTTGATCTTTGTCTGTTCTCATAAAGACAACATCTACTGTAATTGTATTACAATTGTTTTTAATCTCTGACTAAATATAAATACAATCTGTCTCACTGTTACATTGACACTTAATTTTGTTATTCCCTCTATTATGTCTTGTTCTGCTACCTATGGCATATATGTGATTGAAATAAAATAAATTGTGAGGATTTGCAGCGCGTTTCTTCATTTGCATGTGGTGTGGGGATTTGCAGCGTTTCTTCATTTGCATGTGTTGTGAGGATTTGCAGTGTTTCTTCATTTGCATGTGTTGTGAGGATTTGTAGGGTGTTTCTTCATTTGCATGTGTTGTGAGGATTTGTAGGGTGTTTCTTCATTTGCATGTGTTGTGAGGATTTGCAGCTCGTTTCTTCATTTGCATGTGTTGTGAGGATTTGCAGCTCGTTTCTTCATTTGCATGTGTTGTGAGGATTTGCAGCTCGTTTCTTCATTTGCATGTGTTGTGAGGATTTGCAGCGCGTTTCTTCATTTGCATGTGTGTTGTGAGCATTTGCAGCGTTTCTTCATTTGCATGTGTTGTGAGGATTTGCAGCGTTTCTTCATTTGCATGTGTTGTGAGGATTTGCAGCGTTTCTTCATTTGCATGTGTTGTGAGGATTTGCAGCGTTTCTTCATTTGCATGTGTTGTGAGGATTTGCAGCGTTTCTTCATTTGCATGTGTTGTGAGGATTTGCAGCGCGTGTGTTGTCAAACTGATGAAGATGTTTTCTTAATTTGCTGGTGTTTTTTCAATTTGCATGTGTTTTCTTAAGTTGCAGCGCGTTGAGCTCTCTCGGCCACCGTAATTCCCTCTATTATGTCTTGTTCTGCTACCTATGGCATATATGTGATTGAAATAAAATAAATATTACAAATAAAAGTATGTTCATTGTGTTAAGTGAAATAGTGCCATCTCCTGTGTCGCGTAAAATACGTGACAATAAGCGCATGATTTTATAGTTTAATGAAACCAATTGAAAACCATTTAAATCCGAAGTATTTTCATGAAATTTTATATTTTTCTTTTCCGTGCAGCGATTTTAAAAACTCGAATGCATGATTGTTGATAACTAGACGGATGTTGAGAGAGCGCAATTGTTCCGCAATCACATCATTCCTTTGTTCTACATAGTTTCCTCAATAATTCATTACAAGGCATAACGAAAAAGAATCACTATTACACATTTTATTGTAGGCCTATCTAAATGTAAAAACAAATAATTTCCTGAATTTAATAAATGTTCAATAAATATCCCATATGCGATATATTCAGACTAGTTATATATTTGTTTTGAAATATTCGTTTCAGAAAAACAAAAAGCTAAATGAATCATACTTTACTCGGGTCTTTCTTAATTTTGCAAATTAAAATCAAAGCAAAAACATATCTGTTCGAGTGTTTGAGCTCCTTTCAGGCGGCGTCTCGCATAGCCAGCGTTCAAAATATGATTTTTCATAGCTGCTGAACTGTGTGGTTTGTGCTGGAGATTGTCCACATTTATTAAAACACTTTTCTGTGTTTGCAAGCAATGTCCAATACATTTGTTCGTTCAATATTTTATTAAGGTCACGTACATAAAATCATATCAAAATCTTTAAAAGGTTTGAGTGTTTTTACAACATCATTGGACAGTTGGACACGAAACAAACCACTATGCGTCAATTTACTGGACACTCGATGTCGCTTTGACTGATGGCAAAAACGGACCATTTATATTTATATAAAAAAAGAGAGAACATCTCAGGTTACTTGGCTTACACCACAAATCGACATTTAATATCTACAGTCTATAGTATCCTAATAAAACACACTTGAAAATACTTTTGTGTGACATGCCACGAACAAGAAGGCTATCTCAAAGAGAAGAAAGGACATCAGTCAGTTCATAAAGGCGAGAGATATTTTTAAAGCACCCGTTCGCAAAAAGATTAAAAATCACACATTTTGGGATCCCACATTACACTTAACACCTTTTTTTTCTTATTTTTTTTCTTTCAAGGTGACCTGGCTGGTTTTCCAGACACACACATGCGGTGGAAAGAGGGTGTTTTTTCCCCTCAGAAGCGCTTGATGTCCACTATACAATATGCACTTCGATGACTTTTAATGGATGCTACTTGAGACTACGTACGTTTACGGTTATGCTAAAGTGAAGAGACTTAGACACTAAAGTGAATTGTTTTATGAGGTTTTTTGAAGATAGGTTTGTCCATTTAAGTCTAGTCCACTCGATAAATCTCAAAACCCCTGTTTATAATCATGAACACTCATCGTATGCACTTACTGCTAACTTACTGAGGTAAATTGCGTCTGTATTGCGTGAGACGACAGTCCGTATTCACCTAGTTTGTATTGTGTTTCAGAGCGAACGGACAACAGGCATCTCAGCGGGGTTGTTTGTAATTACCGTTGATCTCCGCAGATATGTTTACCGCTTCAGCCCCAAGCGGCAACCGATCGCTGTACTCGGATCCAACTTCAAACTCCTCCTGCGTTTTGGATTGTGACTCGGGAATGGACTCGGTTACAACGCTGCCCTCGACGTCCTCACCTTCTCCGTCCCCCTCCTCGCCATCAGCCTCGCCTTCTCCCTCTTCCAGCTCACTCGGGTTAAAGTTCTTCTCGGATCCCACAAAAGACGCCCTGGGGTCGAAATCCGTCGCGATTTGCTTTTCCATCTGATCTGGGTTTTGCATCTTCATAATCAACTTGTAGGTCTTGCCTTGATACTTGTAGAGCAGATGGCAGCAGGTGGCACCCAGCAGGGGAACGGTTGCCAAAGCTAGCAAAAAAATACTAACGACCACTATAATTAGCAAAGATGGGATTTTCTTCCTAGTTGTGAAGACCACTTGGACTTGACAGTCCTGGCCCCCATAGGTTAGGCACAGAGTGTAATTAGTGCCTGGCTTGAGGCCCTGGAAGCGGTAGGCGTTGACGCCCTCCTCTATCTTGGACCACTGCACCACTGAATGTCCATTGCCAGTACCGACGCAAAGGTACAACATGTCCAGGGGTGACTTTTTGGTGGACGTCTGGAAAAGACTAAAAGGCTCCTTATTCACAGTTTGGAGGTCCTGTTGTTGGCTGAGGTGAACGTTTGACTTCACGTTGGCCATCTGGAAAGGGTTCAGCTGAACTTTGGCCTCAGTTTCTGAAACTTCCAGAGCAATAACTCCGAAATCAAATGTGTATTGTTTGAGTTCATCCAAGCTGAGGTTGAAAGCATGGTTGGAGATGTACTGCGTGCCATCATTTACTCCGCATTTGCCAACAAATGGCAAAGTCCCTTCTTCCACTTGCTCTTTATCCACCGTAATGAGAGATGTTCCAGTTGGAAGGCTCTTTGTCTTCTCCTCAGATTTGGACCACATAACGCTGTTTTTGGAGCCTTTTGAACCAGGTTTGTCTTCTGATAAATGGCTGGATGCTTTTGGGTCCAGCATGGAAATGATGGCGTGCTTTTTGGTGCCCGCAACGACAAGTCTCACCGAGCGCTCGGCTTTTCCCATGTCATTGACAGCAGAGCAGGTGTAGTTCCCATCTTCCTTTTTGCTTATGCGAGGGATGATTAAGGTGCCGTTTTGAAACACAAGGAACCTGGCGTTCGTAGGTGGTCCATTAATTGGAATCTCAATTTTTTCAACAATGGCCGGCAAAGGGAATGTAATTAGTTGATTTCCAGCATATATCTCCCATGTGACCTCAGGTTTAGGGGTTCCTTTTGTTTCGCAGTAAAGCATGACCATATATCCCTCATTGAGTTCGGTTTTTTCGATGTTTGGCTGATATGTGACGGACACAGACGGGGCCTTGCAGTCCAGTTTGGGCATGCTAGTGACCTGAGTACCTTTGAGGTGCGATGGAGCATCGCAGACAATGTTGTTTTGCTCAGGGATGGAGATTGAGGATTTGTTGATCCAGTCCCTGAGCCACTCAAGGTTGCAGGAGCAGGTGAAGGGGTTGTGGAAGATTTGGAGATGAGACATGGAAATCAAAGCATCAAACGTTCCCTGCACGATGGTGGTAAACTTGTTATTGTTAATACGGACCGAACGCAGTTCCTTCAGTTTGGAAAAAGTATCCTTGGGGATACTGACCATGTCATTATTGTTCATCTTTAACAAATGCAGAGCAGTGAGATTGGTCAAGTCTTCCCATGGAAAATGCACGATTTTGTTGTGGCTAATATCCAAATTTTTCAGCTGAATCAACGGCGCAAAGGTACCCCTCTCAACAGTGACGATTTCATTGTGAGCCAGCCAAAGAGAGGTCACCTGGGTCACATTTATAAAGTTTTTGGATTTCAGCACTTTAATCTTGTTGGCTGAAAGACTCAGGGTGGTCACATTGGACGGCAAGCCCACGGGTACTTCCAGAAGGTCTTTGTAGGCACAATCTGTAAGCTGGAGGCTTACTTTACCGGTGCATTTGCACTGCTCAGGGCAACCGCGTGCACTGCCAATCACTGCAGTACCCAAGGCAATAAGCATCAGGTATCTGGTTGCCATTTTCAGCACCTGCCAAGCACACATGAAGGTGCAGATTAGTACTTTAGTGGATTTCTATGTCTATATATAAATCATGCTCAAAGAACCAATGTAGGAGTCATTTAAGAAAAAAAGAGTCAGCTTTGCACATTATGAGGGTGATAATAAAAAGCATATGACATTACATTATATGGTCATGCACATTTATTTTGCTTTTATATTATTTCTAGTCTCTTTTTTCGAGTTCTTGTCGACTAATTGAGCTTAATGAGAGGAAACAAGAAAGACAGCGGACATCCTCGAGCGTCCTGCTGCGTTACCGGACGGCTGAGCAGACGCTCGAGAACGGAACGCTCGGATCATGTTCGCTGTCCAGCGTTCTGAAAACGCTCTTCACTTTTTAACGAAACGTGTTTGTTTTGTGAATTTTTTTAACTTCTCGAGATTTGTAGCGACTGTTTTCTAACCGCAAAAACCCAAGTTTCAAGAGGAAATACACTTCTGCAGTTTATTTACTTATGTTTCTACTTACTCTCTGAAAAAATGTTGTACACTCTAAAAAATGCTGGGTTAAATAAAACCCAGTGCTGGGTAAAATAGGGACAAACCCAGTTGTTTTGACCCAGCGGTGAGGTTACTACCCAGAAGGTTGGCTTAAACATTTAACCCAA